ATATATATATATATATATATATATATTACTTTTATTTTCATCATTTTAATTATATGATAATTATTGATGTCAAAATAAAATATGATATATTATAAATTGCTATGGCCGAAAATATCAAAGGGAAAATACAAGACATAAATTGATTTTCTACCTAATGATATATTTGATTTTATAATCAAATATTTGATTAACAAAAGTATGCTTGTCTTGTTGTGTTGGTTGGGGACATTACACTAATCTCATTTTGTTTTTGTCCCTAAGCAATTTCCTAGCATTTTCTTAATACATTGTATTATATATAATGTGAGTATCCCTCCCCATTTTAGTTGTGTAATTTTCGGCCATCACAAAGAAGAGAGAAGAAAATTATATTTTGTGTTCAAAGTTATTTTTCTAAAGTGTTAGAAATATACACAAAATATTATAAACAAATATTTATAAGATAAATATTTTACTATATATTTATTACTCTCAAAGTAGTATTATTATAGTTTTTACCATCCTATATTAAACTTGCTAGCACAAGTTTAATCTTGGACTCCGGAGCAAGTTCGTGTGGATACGTTGGAGGCTTCATACGTTTGGCGCTACGTTCATCTCCTCAAAACCATCCCCGACCGTTCCTCCGTTCTCCGTTTTCACCGTTAAAGTAAATTTCTTACTATAGCTAGTAATTTACGTAAGTTGTTCTTGGGTGGAATCGAGTTTTGGACTATAAATTTTTGTTTTCCGCTGCGTTATCCAAGCCTCGTTTCCCAACAGTAAACTATTATAATAGTGAATCTTGAGAATGATCCTTTTCATGAAAAATACTTAGGCTGATTTCAAATATATATCTCCTTCGAGATACTCACTAATGACCAGATTGCTTGAAATCATATAAAAACCTCTTTATTTTTATAGCACACATATTTATTAAAGTACTTATTTTATTGCTTCCAACATTTTGAATCATTCAGTGATTATTTTCATACAAATGTTAATTTTGAGTGTCCCTTATAAATATGTTGTGACGACATCCATATCTTTCGTTTGAAGTCATTTTGATATTGCAAGGCCAATTAAAATTCTAAAAGGTTACCGCATCCACTACAAGGGAATACGCTTCCTTATAATCAACTCTTGGGATTTGGGAAAATCCTAGCATTACAAGTCATGCCTTATATCGCACAATCTCATTCATTTTATTTATGCTTATTGCAAATACCCATTTATAATATATTGGTTTGACATGTATGGGTGTTCAAATTATAGGTTCGAAAATATTTTGTTTATTAAAATCAACCTTCAGGGTCTCTTGCCATTTTAACCAATCATGTATGTACGGTGTACATGTGTTCTTCTTTGAGTTTTAGGTATGTAATCTCTTTTATTGATTACATTATTTGCTATATCATATGCAAAAATTTTACTAACACATGTTTATTTCGGTTCCATATTGTACTTTCTCGTACATAATAAATAGAGATCTCTTTTTCATTCGGTACCGAAATTTCTTCTAGAAAGTTATTTTATTCTAGAACTGTAGTAGTCTCATCTGGACATTTATCTCTTCTGAGATTTCATTCTCATCTTGAATAGTATTAGTCTTCTAGGGGATATTTACCTCTTCTGAGGTTTTATTTTTAATCATCTATGTTTCACCAATTACGTTATTTTACAGTTTTCATTTATGTGGGTTCTTTTATTTAGAACTGATTTCTTCTACATTTATTTGTATAATAGTCCTGTAATACCCCGTATTAAGATGGGAATGGGAAGAGCTCAAAAGGATTGATAGTACTACTCATACCAGCAAGGTGCATCTTCTTTTCGGGAGCTCATCACCTAGAAACTTCAATGTTAAGCGTGCTTGACCCCCAAGGAAATTCCTTGGGCGCGCATGAGTGAGGACAAAGTGCGCGGGAAAGACTTGTGTTAGTTTGTGGAGCCAGTCTACAATCTTATGAGCGAACACTTACGGCCAGAGTGGGGGCTGGGGTGTTACAAATGGTATCAGAGCAACCCCGCGACCGTGACGGGCCAAAAAGAGCTTAGTTCACCTAGCGGGGAAAATCTAAGGGTTTAAAAAAAAGAAGGATGCAACGAGGATGTTGCATTCCTAAGTGGGGGTGAATGTAATACCCCGTATTAAGATGGGAATGAGAAGAGCTCAAAAGGATTGATAGTACTACTCATACCAGCAAGGTGCATCTTCTTTTCGGGAGCTCATCACCTAGAAACTCCAAAGTTAAGCGTGTTTGACCTGGAGCAATTTTAGGATGGGTGACCCCCTGGGAAATTCCTTGGGCGCGCATGACTGAGGACAAAGTGCGCGGGAAAGACTTGTGTTGGTTTGTGGGGCCAGTCCACAATCCTATGAGCGAACACTTACGGCCAGGGTGGGGGCCGGGGTGTTACACGTCACTTCTAGAACTGTCTTAAATCGAGTGATGCATAAGATGCTAGTATATGTAACCTTATCACTCTACTCTTATATGCGAATGCATCCCGTATTTCATTTGCTCTTCGTTGCAAATTGGACTTCAAAATCATTTTGACCACTTCAGTAGTCAAATGTTTACAATGATGATACATTCCTCATAATTTCTTGTGTTATTAGTCTTTATACATTTTTGTCTCTCCCTAAGACTAGAATACTTTATCATAAAATTTACAATCAGCATATTGAGGGGTAAACATATCTCTTGTCAAAGACTCTAAATACTCAATAAAAGGTGACAAGGGTGGGCACGGATCGGGACGGTTCAGGTTTTATACCGTCCCGAGTTTTGTCTCATTTTTTTCAAACAGTTCATGACACAAATCTATCCCTCTTTGTCCTTTAATATTCAGGATCAGGATAAAACGGAATAGGTTCAGGTTATCCCACTTTGTCATTATCTGAAATTTGATATAAAAATAAAAAATATATATAAGGGTAAGGCGACTCATTTTGACTTGAAAAGTAATGAAAAAAACGATATTCTTATTTACAATGTCTTAAAAAACAAAAACAATAAGACAACAGAAAAAATGCTACAACGTATGTCAAAAGAGGAAATTATAAGCTTCATAAAAACTATGAGCTACAAATTAGGGTGGGACGAGTCAGAACACAGTCTGGATTTTTAGGTGTTTCGGTCATAATCTATTTTTTAGAATATTTGAATATGGATATTTGTTTGTATTAATCTTGAGAAAATAATTGTGATACTTTTTTGTGTTATATCATTATATAAATAAATAAATATATACACATATACCAGACAATGGGACGAAACGGAAAAATATTTATATGTTCCGGTGCCGTCCCATTTTAAACCGGTCTAAAATAGGTTTGGGACAAAAAAACTTCATCCCAAATAAAATGGAACATTATAGGAATGAGATTAGGATATTTAGGGATGGGACAACGGGTTCAACATTCTTGTCCACCTCTAATAGACGATGAGTTAAAACCAATAATAATAATCTGTCTTGTATGTAGTCTATTGTAGACATGTTGTAGGGGAGGGGGCATTTGACGCACAATCAGTTATAGAAGTCTTGTAGAAATCTTCTTTAGCAATTTTATTAAACCTACGGCGCATGGTCTTTTGACATGTTAAAAAATTACTTAGTAAGCATGCCATATGTTACAATTCTGTAAATAGAATTCTCAAATATTACATATAAAGATAATGTGTGTACAGACACACACACACACACACACATATATGATTACCAATTCATTAAAGAAATAAAAATGAGATCTTGAGGATAAAAAAGAAATGTCTATATATAGGAGCAAAATTTCATTAGAATTTCAAAATGAGAGTTTCATTATTTTTAACCCTTAAATAAGAGTTTGACAATGTAATGATCACGGTGTAATGATAATATAACAATGTGAATAGTGCATGTTGTGGTTGAGTATGGTAGTGATGGACCAGTAGTCGACACCGCCGATGGTGCTCCATGACAAGTTGCGGCACGCCGGCGGCATAGGGCATGACAGTTGGCAGTGACAATGTGAACTCCTATTTAAGTCACAAAAAGAGTGATACTTTTATTTTAGTATTTTCATTATCTTTTGTTCCAATTTAGAAAATTCTCCCAAAATAAAATTATAGAAAGACGCACATTGACTCTTTGTATATGTTTAGAGCTTGTAAATAATGAAATCAGTGTATGCACATTTATAACCCCCATTTATAATTATATATAAATTTTTCTCCCCATTTGACTTTCCACATTATCCAATGTAATACTTTGGCCATTAATATTTATATTTATACGTTAATATATTTTATAAATATTTGATTACATTTATATCATAATACTATTTTTTGTACATACTGAGAATAAAGTTTACAAATTTTGTTCAGAAAAAGTCATAGAGAAAAAATATCTGGACAGAGGGAGTAATGAACATTAGGTGTGAAAGAGAGTCATTGCATTCAGATATACAATCTAATTTACAAAAAGACAACTACTCCATATTTTTTGTTTTCTAATATTTTAACATATTAAGACTAGGGGTGTACACCGGTCCAAAACCGGACCGGACCGGAACCGGAAAAACCGGAAATCCGGAATCTCCTAAAGCATAGGATCGGAAACCGGACTGGTTAGATTCCGGTCTGGACCGGTCCGGACCGGTTTTTTCCGGTCCGGACCGGGTAAAAACCGGAAAACCCGGAATTTATTTTTTCTAATTCTTTTTGTCTATTTTTTAAACTTGTCTTTCAAATTTGTAGCTTGATTTGAATTGATTTCAACCCTACATTTAATTTTTATATCCATTGGGTGTGTTTCAAGAAATTATATTAATATAAAATATAAATTTTTTTTATCAACAATATAATAGGTGTAAAATGATTTTTATACTTCCATAAGTTTTGAAATTTCAAAAATATTATAAAGTTGTACTTTAAATTATTTTGGTTTTAGCAAGTCTAATTTATATGTCAAAGTATTTAATTCCTTAGATCGAAAGATTCTACTTCAATTTTTGGAAAATAATTTTAATTTTTTATAATTATGGATATTCTTGGGAAAATGTTTATGAAATGAATTATAAAATACAAATTACATTTAAAAAATTATACTTCCTATTAAAGTAAGAAGAACCAATGAAAATATACGATTGTATTTATAATTATATGTAAACTCCGTATTATAAATATTAAATTTTTTTAAAAAATAGACAATCCAATCTTACCGGTCCGACCCGGAAACGATCCAGTCTTAGACGAGAATGGACCGGAATTTTACCGGTCCAAAATGTTTAGACCGGAAACCGGACCGGAATTTTACCGATTTAGCCCAGAACCGGTTTTTCCAGTTCGGTCCGGTCCGATTTTCCGGTGTGACCCGGATTTTGTACACAACTAATTAAGACTCCAAAAGCACTCACATTAAGTTTGATAACAAGTTAACTATTTAGGCTGCATTCCGTTCGCATGATTTGATCCGATCTGATTTTTTGAAGTTCTAATCTCATCTGGTCTGATCTGATTGGATCTGGTCTGATCTGATTAGATCTAATCTGATGTAAATTCAATTTAAATTAAAACGGTTATTATTATAGTTAAAATAATAATAATAACAGTAGTAGTAGTAGTAATAATAATAATAATAGAAATATAAATAACAATAGTAATAATAATAATAATAGAAATAATAAAAATAACTATAATAATAATAATAGTAATA